TGTCAAGTTTAACTTATTTAACCTCAGTTTTTAATGTTTGCTATAACTACGTATTAAAAATTCCTAGCCCACATTACGATTTCACTTCAATACTATAAAAAATTGGGGTAAATTTAAATCCATGGCTAATCGCAAATATGCAACAAATATAGATTTCCTCAATAACTTCCTGAACATTAAATATGAATCTCATTCGAAGTTAACGATCATGTTCACCGTTGTATACCGTAAGCTACTTTAGAACACCCCCTCTCTTGTCTCTACATTTTTCATTTATTTCACCGTGTTCTGTAGTTATTAATTTCACAGTACCATTAACTTATTATATTTCTTTATATTATATGATAATAATTGTATGTTATTAACGACTGCGAGTAACACGTCTTGGCAGATAAAGAAGGGATCAATGGTTCTTATTTCTCATAGTGTAGCGTCTTGCTTATGAATAGAGTGTACCTTTCATACAAATTGGTGTCATACAGAGACCATATTGTTTTTCTATCGCAATTGCTTGGACTTTCAAGTAAATGTCCATCAATAATTTGATTTTCAGTTTGTACTTCATTTAGATCCTTTATCCACAATACAATATACTTAAATGATGATATATAATATATATTGGACGCAAGTTATGGGGAAATAATAGCCATATGTTATTTCGGCTTTATATTCGATTAGGTCGAATATAGCAGAAAATCAAACTACAATAACTGTCCTCAACATAAAAGTATAAATTGTATACTTTTTTAGTATGTTTTATGATATGATTATATAAAAATGTATTAGGTTCGTCCAAGAATGTGCACACATATAGAAAAAAAAAGTTGCAAAAAAAACGAATGTCTTGAAATGTATTAATACAAATATATCACAATATACACATTATATAACACATACATGTTTATCAAAACGTATTTTTTCGTTTACTTACCTCATAATATATTTTAAACCATTACTACCATTATTATTACTAGTTATATAATTATTATTAACATTGAAGGGGACCGTCTGATAATAGCTCGGAGGAAAAGAGGAATTAAGAGTGGTGGGGCGACAGAATAACATAATAAACCGAAAGTATTGGTTTGAATTCAATTCAATATAATAAAGTAATATTGACAGTTAAAACTTTAAAAGCAGCAGTCTAAAATATGTGTTATATTACAGTTACAAAACGTAATAATAAATTCGAAATTATGAAATATTTATCAAATATCTTATGACCCATACTGATTTATATCAGCAAAATAATCATTATTTATTTCAAATTAGGAGTTCTATCGAATATGCTAATAAATAAATGTTACTCATATTTATAATTATATGTTGAGACATTATATAACAATTCAAGGCAATGCATTTTTTCACAAATCTCATGTTATTGTGGTTTGTAATATTTAATTCTCGGATTTTAAATATGAAATACAATATTTATTTTCATTTCATTTCTCATTATGGTTTGCCAGTTTGTTTTTATCTAACTAAATCTTGAACGTATTTTATAATATAAATATAATTACAAAATATAAACTATTGCGTGCCCATAAATCGTTTATTTTCAACATTAAAAATATGAATAATGATGGTTTGTAATTAAGATATGCCTTGTGTAATTTTTGTATATTTTACTTTATGACAATAATTGTACAATTTAATAATTTCTTTGTTTCTGAGATTTTTAAGCGCGGTGTTAGTGTGTCAAGACAAACCTGCGCCAAATTATAACCCAGACTAGTCATCGCTATTACGACCTACCTCCAAATCGTCTTGACTATTTATATTATACATTTATACCTAGAAAGCTGCCTAAGACATTTTTTAAGTCCATCTTCCTTACCTAATCATGTCAATTGTCCTACACAGCGCTTGCTGCAACAGGGACAGCGATTATAACAATTTTAGAGCAATCAATAAATTTCAAAAATTATCAGGTAAAGTTTATCCGGGAGAAAGTTAAAAACTAATTTGTTAACATTTAATAAACATTATTGATTGCTTCGTTAAGTTTTCTTGATAAATACTAGAAAGTTCGAAAACGACTAACCTGTAGGCATCGCTTCAATGTTAAAATTCCAATCAGCTAATAAGTACTAATAATAATATGAACAATGTTTTCAATTATTGAAGGTTTTTGGTGAATGTAATATAACTAAATTAATATTTAACAAAAACGCATGTTGTAGGTATAGCGTAACTGTCTCGTTAAAATCATATTATTAATTAAATATGTGGGTGGTAGGTACCTATCCAGACCTGACCCGAAATCAGTGTTTTTTCACTCACGTCGTAATAATAGATTAGTGTTAAAGTATTATTAATATAATACATTTAAATTGACTGTTGTACTTGAAAAAAAATTATGTACTGCCTATAAAAATGAAAAATACCTGTTGTAGTACAAAATACATTACAAATATAAACACGCACTACTAAATAATACTTATAGGTCAGTAAAATTCAGTTATAATAATGAGAACTACTACGTGAGTGAATCAAGTACATGACGTACATGTTCTACTGCCCATTGATGCTTAAGAATGCTGAATTATTTTGTGGTTTTAACTAAGCTGTTTGTATAAATAATAAAATCAAATAGAATATTTTTTATTGCAAAATAATCAATCAGACACTGATGAAAATAGTATATTGTTATATTTCATTTTACTCTTATTACAAACACTGATTACTACTGTAGATAAAACTTAGTTTTCATCATTTTTTTTTATATAAACTATTCCTGGATAAAATAAACATTGGGTTCAACATTTCAAGTAGATAGCTCTATTTATCACTGGACAATCTTATAAAGTATAGTCATTTATAGTTTATTGAATACAGATCATGTTTTTCGATTATTGAAGAAGTTTTAAAAAAACATGAACCAACTTTTAATAATAAAACATAAATTGGCATGAAAGGTTCTACATTTTTCAAAATCACATAATCATTCTTACGAGTTACAACAGTTCCATTGTAATCGACATTCTTTTAAATCGTAAATTGATTTTTGAGCCAAATAATTTGTTAAAAGTCACGATGGTAACAATATACTGCATATTTAACATACTTTATCAAATACTATAAATATACAAAGTTTAAAAATCCCAATTTATACAGTCGAAAACTGTATACTTCAGTGTTGAATTGAAACGGAATCGGTATCTCAGCAAGCTAAAATACTTTAAATATTTCACAAAATGTATATTTTCCATTCTTACACATTTTCATGATAATTTTGTAAGTTGATCGATGTATACAAGATTTTATAAATTTAAAACATAAAAAGAGGGGGGGACAGAAGAAGGCTTTACAGTAGGTGTCGAGTGATTAAGTCGTCACTGAGTAAGTCACTGAAATGTGTGTGTTAAATTTAATTTCAATTATAAGTCATTGACAGTAAAAAGTGATTTCGAGAGAAGATGGTGACCAAATTTGGTCATGTAATTTTTAGTTTTTACCTTCCAAATGTAAAGATTTATATTAATATACTACATTATTTATTTTACATATTATTTTACTGTCAAAATACTTACATAGATACATAAATAGTTCGAAGGGGATGGTTTTTGCACATTATACTAGAGCGGTATAGCCTCTAGTCGGATCGTGAAAAGGTTTTGCACGATCTCCTAGGGTGACAGTCAGTAAACGAGTGACAAAAATAAAATATAAATATAAAGTAGTTAAATATTATCTGATTGTTCAATTTGAAGCGAATATCGCCTTGTATAGCGTCAGTCTATTTGTTTATTTTTGCGATACTTCAAATTTCAATAAACGATGCAACACGGGGAGCAAGCCTTAATAAAACAGTTCAGTTCTCATTTAATGGTGCCATACTGAAAATAAAACACGCATATATATTTTTTAGAAAATCGTTTATTTAGTTCGTTACCATTATAGGAAACAAACAGTGTTTAAACTTTAAATATCCACAAAAATAGCTTAACCACTTATACTTTTTACCGGAATCGTCGATGTAAACAGATGTTTTGAATAATTAGTAAACAAGTCTCCCCGTAAGCTAAACTGTAAGCAGTCGGTAGCAAGATTCATTATCATAAATGCCCCGCTGGAGAGTTAGACTAGAATTACATAATGTCTTTTTTTCACATTTTATCGTCTGTGCCTTTTAGAAAAATAATGTGTATATCATCTGTTCTACGTGTAATAATTAATCGATTATATTCAACAAGTAAATAAACGTCCATGGTTCAATGCAATGCCGATGACAACATTTTTGCTCTATTATTTGGTTTATTTATCGATTGACATAATAGTACTATATATATTGTGTGGCAAGGGCGGTAAGTGAGCTATTTCAGTCACTGGAGAGGGCCGCATTTCACCCGACTGAAATTTCATTCCCACAAATACTATTTTTTGTCACGCATCTGCATCCATCTATCACAGCACAGGTAATGCAGGGATCAATGCAACAACCTGACTGTTCTACGAAAACAGTTTCATGAATGAAATGTTTACGCGTCATGCAGGGAGATCATAATATGAATATCAGCTCATTTGTAGCAATGTATATTATATTTTTCATAAAGGTAAAAGCTGTTCGATAAATTTAGATTATCTTACATATTTTGTAGGCATAAATAGTGTTAGATTCATAAGTGACTAACGATGACTAACGCGATATTATCATGAGTGTAATATAAATTAACCACACTATAATTAATGCTACATCTGTGTGAAGAGTTTATATTAGGTGCATTCTGAAAAATAAAAGAGAATGGTGTAATTAAAATTATGTTACATGACACCATATTAAAATATTTAATTATACAAATAATGAATTGAGTAATTGATTTTTCTCGATAAGAATCATAGTATTAATTATTCAAAATAAATAAAAACACATTAAACAATTAATATATTTATGTATATAATTGATTTATTTCAACACAATTTTACGTTTTATAAAATAATATGCTGTAGGTACATAAAAGTTGAAAATTAAATGTAAGTATCTTGGTGATTTTTTTCAGGTCATAAAGATGTTAGTTATTGTAGTTGGATTGTTCGTTTTATGTTGGTTACCATTACAAACGTATAACGTACTTCAAGATATATTCCCATCAATAAATCAGTAAATTACTATTACTCTATCGGTATTTAATTTCTGGATATGAAAGTAATTTTGAATTTTACATTATTTTAGGTTTCGTTACATAAACATCGTGTTCTTCTGTTGTGACTGGCTGGCAATGAGCAACAGCTGCTACAACCCATTTATCTATGGAATATACAACGTAAGTACCATTAATTATTATTTTATAGTTAAAAGCTATTTCAGTGAAAATAATTAAAAACATAATATAAGTGTATTAGATTATGAAATATTATGTTGTAATATTGTTTTAGCTCTATAAGTATGGATTTCTCTAATCGAGCGGATAAACTATTTAAATTGTAAAGATATTTCATATTGTTATTGTTTTTCTCAAATGTAATCTTTAATTAAATTATTCTTTAAAGAATAAACTCTAATTTAATAATTTATGTATTCACTCTTGAAATATACATTTGAATAACTCAACAAAAATTGATCGTAAAATCTCAGTTGGTTGGTAAATTAAATGTCAATTTTTAATTTTATAATGTAATATATTATTACTCATTTTTAGCAGATACGTATTAATTCACTAAAATATATGATAGAACATGTTAGGCTGCTCATTGCCATTTGTATTAGGTAATCAATACTGCAAAATATTTCATTTACTTAACCTTTTTTTTTTTTTTAAATCATAAAATCTATTTAACATTTTTCTTAGAATAACTATTAGAATACCTAGTCAATACCTGTCCTATATGGCATTATAGAAAACAGTCTTCAAGTGGCGACACATAATCTTTCGATTTTTAAATATTCTAAATTAGATATCAGATCTAAAAAAAAAAAACAATCCTTCAATTTTAGTAGGTATAGTAGTTATAAATACGATAAATTATCTAATTCGTATATACACACTCCGAACTCTGTACGGTATCAAATGATCAGTCGATTGATACATAATATATTATGTGCTTCTATCATCCCAATAACGATAAGTAGTAGTATATTATAATATTATTGTAGAGTTATCGATTGGAGGAGCTGTATATTATAATTATTATTACTAAAACCTACACTCGTTTGCTCGGCCGGACGATGGTAAGTATAGAGCTAGTGTCACATAACGTTGACGTTTCAGGAAAAATTCAAACGTGAGTTCCGCATCAAATTGCGGCACTTCCGGCGTGGCCGTTTTCGCGGAAAATCAAACGCTAATCACGGGAGGTCACCCTCGGTGCGGTCCACCACGTTGTCTGAGTGGAAAAGAGGATATTCTACGAAGTGCACTAACAGGACGACGGCGAACGGCGGCTGCGCAGACAGTCCGCCGCCCAGAAGGGACGAACTGGAAATGTTCGTGTGCAAATCGGGCAAGATCACGTTGATCAAGTGCGGCAGCCGTTCGGACCTCGAAGAACTGTGTCTGTAAAAAATTGTTATCGTTTGATTCTATATTATGTATAGGTAGGTACCTATCGATAACTTGGTGCAATATGAACATTGTGGTTATACTATTATCATAATAATTATAATTATGTCATGGTGACCAGCATATATTGTCGACGAGAATATTGACGATGGAGATCGCTGCACAGGGCAGGATTTAGTTTTGTACGTCATACGACAATAATAATATTGGGTTTACTCATATTATATATTAATTATTATAATGATGATCATTGATGATTATAATACGATTGTTTGTTCTTATAATAATAATAATAATTGTTTGCATGAGCGAATAGTCCTTTTCCGGCTATACATATTTTAATACCATGATTTATTATTATTAGGATGCAGCAACGCGTTTTTACATAATAATAATATGTAATTACAAAATACTCGTATAACATTGTTCAATAATTCTGTATACAACAGAAACGAATAATAATGTGTTTAACACAGATGGAAAGTTTTGTTTTTGTATTTATAAATAACCCCATTTTTTCTTTAATAATGGATTTAATCACAATATGGATATTGGATTTTTTAACAAAGACCATATTTTCAATATTATTTAAATATTTATTTTATTTAGGGAGTACCCAGTGGCTAGATATACATCTTCTTTTCAAATGAGAAAGACAACCAACCTTTTTGAATTATTAGGCCGCCGATGAATTTTTTTTTAAATGTTGATGCATTGATATCAACATTTGAAAGAGTAGTTTCTTAGTTATTTTATTCTACGCTAAGGATAATAGTCTTTAAAAATAGTTTAAAAAATTTATAAAACAAAAGTTATTTTAAATCTAAAGTACTCGAATATTTTTTACACATGATAAAATGTTGTTTGATTAATATTTATATATTACTCAAGCTTTTAAATCATCATAGCCCCCATATCTTCTAAATTTATCACTATGAACCTTTTTTTTCCCCTTGTTATCGAGAACCTGGAGAGGAACTGGTGTTGGCATTGCTTCTCCCCCGGTCCTCATCGTTTATTGAGCATCAAAAACCAAAGTAAATATTACACCAATAGCATACTGGAATGAGCTCCTCCCCTCTATCAAATGGACTTTCCCTATCGCTAGGTAAATGTCCACTTGGAAGCGGAGCTCGGTGGGCTTACATTAAAAAAATCGCTTAAGGCGTCGTCGTTCCCTGTTGTCGGTTTTGAGAAGTCTGATGGAGTCTGACGGAGTCCGCCGTCCTGGAATCACGTCGGTGGTTGCCTTCTCGTGCCGGCCGAGCCCGCCGCACTGGTTTCTAGTGTTTGTTACCATGGACCTATTATCCTTATAGTGTACTGAGTTAAAAACTCAAAAACTAGGTAATTGCTAGAATTTAAATTTTCTGGAAAAAATTATCTGCTATCTAATGTACAGGAAAATGGGGCCATTCTCGTTTGGAAAAAAGAAGTTGGTATCGGCACAAGACACTACTAAATAATAATATTATGTAATATCTTTAAAATATGTTCAGTTTCAAAGATTTAAATTTGAATAATTTTATTATTTAAGAAAAAATGCGGGTAGCATTCTTGATGAATTTCCCTCTACACAATATGTATATACTATAATAAATATTTATGTATAATATATTAGTTCATGTACGGTATGGTGACTGGTGAGATAATGAGATGTAAATTAAAACAAATATATTGTTATTAATGTTAAAATATTTATATCTACGACTGTCCAGAATATGCATTGTACCTCCTAAACTATTGAAATACAAATAATATAATAGTGACGTAGAAAGGTATTATATTAAGTATACCTACTGCTTGAATACAATTATTTGTTAAAGTTAAAGTTGAATAAATAAAATGTTATGATATGATATATCACTACATACTTTACAGTTGCTTACTAATTGTGAAGAAACATTAGGCCCACGTTTAATTATTTAAATCGATTGTATTAACATATCATATTCTTATCAAACGTGTTAATTATACGTAACTCCCTACATATTATTTATGTACCTACACTGAATAATAGTCATGAACTGAATATTGACCGTATTATACTTCAAAAATATATGTTGTAACTACAATACATTATAATATATATTATTAAAATAAACAGTTTAATGTAATATATTATAATATTATCTAGAAACATGAAATACTGTAAGGAATTTTAATTACTTATTATTTACTTCTCTTATAATTATTTTGTACATTCAATTTACTGATACAAGGAATTTCTGGAGAAACACTCTAACAGTAAATATTAATTTATTAACAGCTTAAGACGTGCATAATATACATTTTCCGATATTTCAAACAAATTTTCGATAGTAAGATAATTAGATAAAATGTCTAATAATAAATATATCCCTATTATTATGAAACAATTTCTGCAACATTCAAAAATAATTTTGAATAGGTAACCAATTTAGGTAATAGGTAATGAATTCACTTAAATAAATATATGATTATATAAATTACACGTTTTGGTTTTATATTCAGGCAATAACATTGAATGGAACATTTGATGGTAATCAGAGAATAATATCAAATTATATTTTTTATTGTAATATTTATGAAGTTATGGTAGCTTCACATGTCTAAAACAATATTTCAGTTTTATCTTTTCTGATATTTTGGATTTAATGGTCATGAAACATGTCAGGTTTGAAATCACTCTCATTAGAACTTCTTTATATTTCTACAACAAAAAAAAACATCTATATATTATATTGTGTGCTTTTTTTTTTTATTCATATAATATTATATCATTCTTTGTTAATTCGTGTAATTATCTTTGTATTATGCTAAATAAATTCATAAGCTCTTACATTAACCCATCAGCAATTACTTACAGGTATTACTTCAGTGAACCGTCAACATCCAAGTGTCATCAGCTAACACTAATTGACTGATAAAATTGTAAAATTGATTCCAAAATTATAATAAATATTTTATTTTCAAAGTCATAGTATAGTTAATATGTTTTTGAACGCCTCTAATTGAGCATTTATATTTTACCTCTAATGAATCTTGTATTGTACACAATAAAAGGATTGCACCCATTCATATCAAAAATAAATTATTCGAGATTGAATATTCATTAATAATATAATATAGTGATCTCAGTGAATGGTGATTGATGTAGTAGAAATAAGATCAGTGTCTGATGAGTCTTATAAGAAAATTGAAACCTAAGAAAATCATCTACTTTTCAGTGCACTATTACTATTACTACCATATTAAATATTTATAATATAATGGAGTGACACATTTCAAATTATAAAGTAAATAAGAACGTAGTCACGCTTACAATTTAAACTACAGGTTTTATATCGGTACTCGATTATATTATTATAATAATATTTTCCATTATTTGATAATTATTAATATCAATTAGTTACCCGATAAATAAATAAAAAGTGTACATGCCTACTTGATTCATAAAATAAATTCTAGCTCTCGTCATTATTCTCTATAACAATAAGTTATATAGCGAACAATAATTTTAGTATGATTATTGTTATTGTGATGTCAACACACATCTTTTGTAGGATATATTTTAAGTTGTTGTAATCATGAAGTATATAAAAGTCAAACCCGTAAAATCGTGATCAAAAATTGAATTAAAAAAAAAGCTAAAATTGAAATTGAAAACTTTTGTTTTCATTTTTATTAATTAGTGGCCTTAGTATTGTATTAGTATTGTACCAAAAGTATGTATTGTTAAAGCGCATACTATTTATTTAAAAAAAATAATAAATTGAAATTGACATGGTACCCATATGCTGTATTTGCACTATGCAGGTATAGTAGTTATAAGATAAAGGTGTAATTTTCATACTAACAATGTTTGCTTTATTTTATGTATTATTTTATCGAACATTGGCTAAAGTTCTATATCGCATACAATTGACATTTCAATATTCTACTAAATTATTTTTATATATTTGTACACAACTTTATAATTATAATAGTTTTTTTTTTCTGACAATACTGGACTTCCTTATTCCTAGATTTATTACTAGTCAAAAAATATTAGATATATTATGTTGCAGACACAATATTTTACTATGTTGCTAACTTGGATGAATATTACTATTGTCAATCACCCAATTACATAAACGCTTTAATGAACATTGATAAATACTAGTAGCAGAGTTTCTAATTCTGAAAGGATTTTTGTCAATTACGAAAGGACTTCAGAAAATCTCTTTCGACAAACCAATTATTTTTTTACTGGTGAAGAGTAAATAGATACTATAACTCAACATGTAATAAATCTTCTGACAACAGCTTAAACTGAATGTTTAATACAAAATTAAAATAGTTCAACTATGTTGTGCATTAAAACAGCAATAACAAAAAATCCTTTTATCAAAAAAATCTAAGATCTTAATTAATAATAACAATATCACAGTGAAAACTAATACTTTTAAATTATTGTTATGGATTTTTTTCTTTGAAACGTCTGAAAAAAAATATTAAGGCATTTTTTTGTAAGTATAATATATCAAACCAATATTTTTTCTTGTGAATATGATACGAGTAGAAATGATGATGTAACTCAGGATTCGAGACCCATGACATACATATATAATATATATATATAAGTGGTAAAACATCATATAATAAATTATATATATTATATATATATTATATACGTACTTTGGATGTCATAAAAATTGAATCATAAAAATAAAATGAAACACTAATACTAACTCAAACGGTTAGGTTTATATATTATGCTTAACTTACTATCATGACTTACGAAATAAAACATTAGGGGTTTTCGACTAGTAAAAAAATAATCAATTAATAATAATACAGTTTAAACTAGTAATACGAAAAATCTCAATTTGAATCATTACATACTTTTACAAAAATTTGACATTAAAAAATCGATTTATTGTAGATACCAATTGATATGATATTACGATAGTTGAGATATGGCATTGGCAAAAATCGAAAAAATACTTTTAATGAATTTCTTATTAACTGCATAAAGTAAAAAAACAAAATATTGCAAAGTTTAATAGATATCTAAATACATAAATTGATAGATTATTATAATATTATGGTATTACTTATTAGATTGTCTGTAGACATTTAAGACTGCCATACAAAATAATAATTGTGTAGATATGATCTGAAAAAGTGCGTGTATTACGTATACGTATAGATAAATTATACACTAGTATGTATTAAAAAAAAAACAAGGGGCCAATAAATATTAATTATTAATTTGTATATTGCCGAGATTATGCATAAGGGTTATAAAAACAATAAAATGAATACGTCATAAAGGTACCTATAATAGTGCAGGTATTATGCATAATACATAGTTTTATTTAAAAATTATATCATAAATTCATAGGTATGTACATAATATTAGGTCAAATTATTTCTTTCACTTTCGCGGATTTTGTATTTTCAACAACTCGTAGAAATGCCAATGCTATTATAGTTAGTACCAATTTGATATAGTGTCCTCAAACAGTCAAACAAAAGCGAAAAATGTGTGCTGTCCGCCTTTACAGGCATTGATTCCGTAGTGGTTATTACTCATTACTTTCGTTTACGGGAGCCACACGGCTGCGGAACACGCGAACACTGTGCAATAAATATATTTGTTTAAAGGCGATACTTAAGTTTTCCAACACTCGGAATTAAGGGAATTGATTGAATATTTCACCAAATGACGTCATCGCTGCAGGTTTATAAACCTAATCCTTAAAATATGAATTGACTATCAGATATTTCGAAAATT